AACATGGATCAAAGTTACATGGGCCAATTACACCTATGAACAATAAAATCCTGGTTACCAACTGGGTCGTTCCTCTTAGCAGGCCAGTTGCTTAAGGGAAGCAGACCAGTACAGAAAATGCAGACCAGGCAGTACAGAAAATTCTACTACTGGGAATCCCAGTCCCAGGGATTTTTCATATGGAAACATGACAAAGAATTTAATGAAGGTTGCTCATATCACCAATCCTTGAGGAATGGATGGCTGACAGAGGCAAGCAGTGCCATAGCAAAGCAGCAGCAGCCATATCATAACTGTAATTAAACATTTATTTTGTTATATATTGCAGGGTTGTAGATCAATGTTATTCCTCAAAAATCTGAGATGAGCTAGTAAGTTCAGTTATAAAAATGATACTCCTCCTAAAGAAGTCAGAAAACTCATACCAAAACAAGGCATAAAGTACTATCATTTTACTCCCTCTGTATTTACCCATTTTCAAATTAGTTCACTGAATGCCCAAAACTGAAAATGCTACATTAAAAACAGTTCAGTTACAGCAAAGGTTATCATATTTTCTTAAAGCTTTCTTGTCCAAAAGCAATTTGGTTTTGCTACTTTTAAGGTCATTATACTCCAGGTCAGTCCAGGTTAAAAATTTGGTGCTACGAGTTTCACTCTGTCTGCTAGGTTTTGGGTCTTTCCTCCTTGACAAATAGTATTCAAGTATGTTTACTGATTTAACAGAATTTGTTTTCAAAACAGAACTTCCCAGAGCATCTTTTTAACTAATCAGGTCACAAAAATCTTAGGTATAGAACTGTTACAAGAATACACGACACACTATCCTAACCCACCTTCACCAGTGTTATTAAAACTTGCAGTTTTATTAAGTTTCAAAATATACTGTGATATCCTGAATGTCTCAGTTTGTGAAAAATCTTGTATTTTAAAGCCTGACTCATGGAAGCCCAAAACCTATTTATAAAAAGACATTTCAGTGAATTAGTGTCTTTAGAAGGTTGCATTCATCTTGCATCGGACACTCTGCAGCATTTCCAGAATATATACCCAAATTCTTGGCCTGCATTCTTTTTGATGAAGACAGAGTCAGTAATCTCTACACTTACAATGTCTAAATTAGGTTACTATAAATCACAGATATATGACAAATGAGATACACATTCCCAAAATACCTTTTGGCAAAACACTTTTGGACTGCAATTTTGCCAGATTTTTATTTGTCTGCAAAATTGTCAGTCTATAGTGTACAGAGACATCATTTAGGTTCTGTCATACTATAAAAAAATGCTTTGATGGGTAGCTCTTTCCATTTGTATAGGTTGTGCATATCAGTGACTCTCCAACTTCTTTTTATTATTTGGGCTTATAAACGCCCATACAGGCAACTCTTAAAAATCTGTGGGTTTTGGTATAATGTTTCTGGAGCTTTTCATTCTGTCACCTACAAAGCAGGCAACAGAATTCTGTAATCCCCTGCTTCAAACTACGTTTGTCCACTTTTTGCAAGTTAAGATTACTGGCTTGTATTTATTTCTACACAAAGTATTTATCCGATTCCTCAAAACATGGTAAAATTAAATTTAAAAGCTTCAGTTAATTTCTAAAGTTGGATTTGAAATGTCCTAATACCTTATTACAAGGACACCACAACTCCCAGTGGTTCAATGCTACCAGTAAGAACTGTCTAGTAAGGATGACGCCCAAATTGGCTGGGACTGCATAAACCGATACTACAAAACTGTTTTGACTTCTACATTCTGAAGCTTGCAAGATTTTATAAACCAAATAAAAATGATTTACAGACAAACAGAAAGCAAATGATTAACAGTGTACTTTATAAAGCAGAGGAGAAAAGAGCAAGTGATGTTAATCTAAGGAAACTATTTCATAGTGTGTCATAAGTATGATTTCTATTAGAAATGCACAAATTATGCACGCAGTGCTTCCAAATTCACAGAAAAAGTATTATAAAAGTGAAGTCCTGCTGTGTCAAATATGCCACACAATTATTTTTCTGATAACAGCTATTTAGGCTAGGGCGTGACTTTTCTCCAATATAGCTGTGCTAGTACAACCCCTAGTGTGGACACAGTTTACTGCCACGAAGGCATTATACCCGTATAACTTAAAAAGCTTGTTCCTAAGAAAGAAAAGTATTAAGTAAGGTACTGTTCTTTCAGCACAGCTACATCCACAATGGGAGGGCTGGGAGAGAAAAAGAGAGGCCAGTAGGTTATGCTGCTTTACAATATACGGGGCCAGATGAACAGATGCAGTTTTTGTGTAGAGAAACTGTGTGGTATATGTCTTTTCCTCCCCTCCCTCCATAATCCAAATGTTAATCAGGATCATGATGGATGATATTACAAAACACTTATTCAATTTAAATGGTAGCATTGCTCATTGTTTCTTCATTTTTATTTTAAGAAATATTCATGTAAAATATTAATAAGATATTCATACCAAGGTGCCAATATTTGTCATTAGTCCTAACCGAGTAATAAAGATAGGAAAAGAGATATTAGAATAAAAGAGGATAAGACCAAAGACACATACTCCCTTTAATTTTCTTAAATTATAAAAATTCAGTTTTGAAGAACTTTATAAATATCAGTGTATGATAAATACATATCTGTATTTATTGACATATAAATGTGTGTATCTGATGATCCTAAATCGTACATATGGGGATTTCTGCCTATTCTGACACACTTGAATAACTTTAATCCCTTTTTAAAAGACACTACATATGAAATAAAATACATCTTCAGAACTAGATTTTATCCACAGCACAATTAAAAATATAATAACAGTATCAAGAAACAGTAAACTTGCTTTCAATGTATCAAAAGAATCTGAAACATGTTTCTTCACTTTTAAAACAGAAAAATGCACCATTTAATATAGAATAGCATGAAAATATTCATACATTATTGTCTCTTTACTTTTAAAAAACAAATATGTATTTATTATGAACAGATGGTGGTCAAGGAAGGTATAAACTCTCTTAGCCAGAAGGTCAGGTCATGGCTGAGAGACCAAAGAACAATTACTGTTTGCTATTCAGTGCTATAAGATGAAACATTTCAGGTTCTTCTTTAAATACAAAGCTAGATGCAATTGAGCTGTTTTCATTTCATTTCAATGATATAATTTGCAATGACTTAGTAATATCTTTTACAAAATTATTTTAAAAAACAAAACAAAGACAAAACCCCACAGTGCACATGTACTCTTTTTGGTTACCTTTTAACATGTTAAACAATATTAGGATCTACACAGAACTTCACTGGTTACTAGAGCCACAGCTATAAAGCAGCTGATAGATGCTGAGCCTGAGAATTTCACAACAGTTTGTTTTCATTTTTTTAAGGAACTAACAATCATTTTTGAACAATATAGTTACTTTATGTAATTACTGAATTACTCTAATAATCTTTGCTGATAGGAACTCCCCCTCCCACTTCACTTTAATTATATCAAATTATAAATCACCACATTTTGCTGTATTCATTCCCAACTGAATAAAATTCCAGTATGTCGATAAATGAGGTTAAAATATTTTGTTAAATTCTGCAATTTGTTCAAAAGACAATCCTGAAGCAAGTTGGAGAACAAGATTTAAAATCCAAGATACTTCTTCAAATATCTTATTAAACACATCCTGTTTTATTTGTATGCCAAGATTATGCCAGCTCTCTTATCTGTGATATCTGTCAAGACACAGACGACAAGCCTGTTTTTTGTTTTTTAAAGTGTCCTTAGGCCTAAAGGATGCAGGAGTAAAAAAAAAAAAAAAAAAAAAAAAAAAAGCAGCAGCCAACCCTGAAAACAAAATACTTTAAGGCCCTTGTTTTTCTACGCTGTATGATTTTCTACACATATTGAAGAATCATTTTATCTAATAAACTTATCTTTTGGATTTTACATATTTTTATTATAATTTAAATTAATATAGCTTCCAGCCTAACAACATACTTTATTAAGTTAATAAACTTACTGTCCTACATGAAGATTTAGGGGAACTGGTAAATAAAAATACAATTTTAGAAATAGTGCATTTTTCCTTACATATATTCTTACACAGGGACTGATTTGTTCACTTTTTTACAAGAAAAAGAATGATTTAAAACCTGTTGAATAGGCTGTTCTAATAACAAAATGCATATAAAAAAATTATCCTCATGTGCATCTTATACATTTCTATATTCAGAGGACATTCACTCTCATGTGCAAATCACAACTTATGAAGGAATAACTGAAAGTTTGAATACCTAGAGAAAAACAGATAAAACCTCAACAAAAAGGGCACTTTAAAAGATGCAGATAACACCTGTTCAAGCTGTTTGCCAAGTACATTGCAGGTTACTATAATAATCTTTCTTACTGCATGGGATGTTTTCTCACAGACTACCTGTAAGGCATATACTGTTTTTTGTATTATTATAAAACACAAGTTTTAGATAATCAACAATGAATGCCTAGTGGAATTTTTATATAGTTATTTTTTTTCTAGAAGGTTATTTTTGTTTTGTTTTGTTTTAAGTCTTTATGAATCCCAGTATTTATTAACCTTGAATATTTGAAGAAACTGGAAGATAAATGATTCTCATTTTTGGTATAGTTAGGTTATGCTCAGAGTCTGTAATGTTTTGTCAGGCTGCATATATGGATTTTGGGATTTGTGAAAAATAGTGTATAAACATATGTACACAGTACATAAAATTTAAGTATGTTGTATGAATACATAAGAGAGTAATTCTATATGAAAGCATGGGATGAGTATTATGTAAAACTGAACATATTAGGGCTGAAAACAAGAATAAGATAACCAAAAGGTATTTATTTAACAGTAATAGCTGGCTTGTTGCCATTAATTTAGAAACCATTTAACAGTAACAAATGACCACTATTAGAAAAACGAATCATTCCAGCTTTCGAAATAACCCTACTTAGGCTTCTAGTAACTGCAAAGTTATAGCAGTATTATCTCTTACCTGGTCCTTAATTTCAAGCTCCCTTATAGTTTTTGTTCTGTACTCTCTGAGCTCCTTTTCTGCCTCATCCTTCTTCATTTTGGTTTGATTCAAGTGATAGCGCATTTCTCCACACACCTGTTAGATTATACAGACAACATGATCTGTAGCTTGAAGGATCCATAGCCCAGGGTTTGCAATTAAATCTTTTGGTGCCCCCTAGAGGTCATTTAAATGCAACATATTTTAATTTACAGATATTTTAAGACTACATATGGTAAATGTTTTTATATAAAAAGGTGGATCTGAATTCTCTATATAGTCATTAACTTTGGAATATGCAGTGCCTTTTAGATTCAATTATATTTGGATCAAGATTTTGCTAAGTATAAATATTTATGTTGTAAATATATGTGCTACTAAATACAGTTAAACTACAGTTGCTGGTTTTATATTCTCCCATTCTCTCCAAAATCCCAAGAAAGCCTATGTCAACACTTTGAAAACTTAGAAGTACAGGATCCTAGTGTACTAGGATAGTACACTCCTATATAAGGATGTAGTTTCTTATCTTGATAGTTTTCCACTGTTGAGAAAGAAAACCATATTAGATATTAATATGGTAATTTTCAAAGTTAGACCAGAGCATTATAAACTTAACTAAAACTGAAAAGAAACTCTTTAAGAACAATGCCTAATTAAAATATATGCATGGTCAAGAAGAAAGTGATCAAAGGAACATTTAAAGAAATCTAGCATCACTTCCACAGGCAACAATTATTCTCTGCTGTTGGGATGTTCATTATGTTACCTCCTCATTCCTTTCCACCTGAAGGCAGCTCAGCTTCAGAGGGTCTGAGGAGGGCTCAGAAGAAAGAGAGAAAGAAAAAAAAACCCACACCAATCCCTCCCACATAACTTTCACTACTGCTATGCAGGGGTGTTAGTCTCCCATTTCCCAATCTAAGACTTTTAAAGGATTCTATTTGATCTTACCTGTTGGGAATGGAGAAGGATGGTGGACAAGCTGTCCCCTTTTTTTCCTTATCCTGTACAATCACCTCCAATTTGTTCCTGTTCATTTCACCTTAATTAATCAAACATAAATGCATGCACATTCCCTAATAAGAACGCAGATGTGTTTACTCACACCTAGTCTTAGAGAACTTTCTTTCCAACTCACTCTGCTTCCCTGCCTCACTTATAGTCACCAGACTTCCACCAGACTTACTTCCTAGATGCGCACTTTTAATTTGCTGTTACAATCCTCCGTGCTTCTCAACAGTCTCCTCACACACAGTCAACAACCCAAATCAATTTCTATTTTTCAGTCTCATACCTCTTCTCATATTCACTACTTTTATTTTTCTTAAAAAAAATAAAAAAAGTAGAGTAAAAGTAAATATACATACTGCAATCAAATCACCTTAGGAAAAAACAAAACCAACTGTCATAACTTTAAGAAACAGCATCACTCATAAATTCAAAGGACAGCTTCTGAATTTAGCCCTGTTGCAAATAGTGCAAGGCAGCAAATGCTCTGAAGAATGGCAAAGGTCTAAAGCATTATTTTTTCTAATATCATATATGAATTTCATATATGCATATGAAATATCATATGCAAATAAAAAAATCCTAAAATGCCACTGCATAGATTGACAACCCTGTCTTTCTACCTCCTCCTTCCTTTATATGAAGGATGTAACAAAATGCGATATGTCACTTCCTCCAAGCAAAATTAAAAAAATAAAAAAATACAGCCATCCTTGCCTTCAGCTCCCCCATACACCATACAACATGAATAACGCAGAAGAATCAGCAGATGGTGCTGTCCTAATAATGGATTTTTCAGTCTCCTCATAGTTCAGAATGAAGAAAAAGGATTCTCACTCCAAACGTTTTCCCTGACTTCTGTTGCATGCTGAAAAAAAACATTTCAGATAAAACTCAAAAGGAAAAATGCTGCTATTTGCTGTTTTTAATAATGGCAAACCTAGCTTGGAATCAAGAAGTTAGATTCACAAGCCACCATGAATGTCACTTATAGCCAATGAAAAAGGTCAGCGTGATGCGCATAGTCCTGACAGCTCAATGGTCAGGATCTTCCTCCAGGATGTTTGAGACTCCTCAGTTCAGAACAGGGACACCAATGCAGTTTTCCAATCTCTCAGAACGGTGCAATAAAAACACAGCATAGACTGCTGCAAGGTGGCCACCTATTCAACTTTGTATTGATTAACATTAACTGAAGCAGAGACTGGAACCATAGTGTCACTCTCCTGAGAGATGGCTTCAAATCAGTAGGCTATAAAATTGTTCCTTCCGGACCAATGGATATTGATACCTACTGCCTCTTTCCCCACCTCCCACCCCTGTAAGTGATGCTAGTCACCTGTGAACCCAGTCTGAAAAACCAAAGGCGTGTTTCAGAAATGGTAAATCAAACCATTTTGACACTCTTAAAATGCTCCTTCATTTGTCTTTCAGCTGAAACTGAATTAAATTTTCTAATAAGACTTTTTCCTGTAAATTTTCTGCAATACTTTCACCTATTTCTACCAGCAGGGGCAGTAGAGGAAGACAGGAACTGATAAAAACCTCTCCAAAAGTCTCTAGAGGCCTAAAGAATTAATTGCTCCCCCAAACCTTGCAATTAACAACTGAGGAGGTAGGTCTGGCCCCAGGATTACTGGTAAGTTATACAGACATTTCAAGAAGCTGTAACAAGTTTGAATTATCAGATTGTCTATTCTATAGAAATCTAGCATCCTCTCATCTTCATGAAGTTAAAAGTTACTTCTGTAACACGTGAATGATGAAACTAAGCTAATAAAAATAACCACTTTAACAATGTGTCATCCCCTAGCATAAACTCTGGATAACAATTGTTTTTTCTTTCTCATATTATCACCCTCATTAAGGCTTTAAGAGACTGAGAAACCTGTGCAAAATAAAGCACTTAGAGTGATACACATACATAGACAGATGTTAAGCTGTAATTTTTAACTAGAAGATCTTTTTGTAAAAGGTACATCGTCAATATTAATGAATAAAGCTGTACACCACATACAAACTCTACAGGAAAGTACTTGAAAAAACAGTGATTTGATACAGCTCCCTTTATTTTAGCACTGCACATCCTAGGGGTAGCAATTACAGGACAGGGTTGAATACTGCATTGTCTCATTCATACCAAATAGAGTTTTTAATGAAACACTGGATTGCAGTTTTAAATAGCAATTTACATAGTCTGCAAGGTAGACAGGTTAGCTGGTGCATCACAAGGTGACTTGGCAGACTGAAAAAGTTCTCTTTTTACTCCTAAAACTGTGCCTCTGGGATATTCAGATGAAGTTTATATTTATCACACATTCTTTACCAATACATAGGAAAATGCAGAAAGAAAAAAATTCTCATCTTTCAGGTCACAGTGATAAGGAAAACCAAGCTCAATACTCATTTATAAATGTGCCTACCTTATTCATCTCCATTTCATGAGATTTAAGCTGCTGTTGTGATTCTTCTAACTGGTTAACTAGAGAGTTCTTTTCCCTTGTAATTCTCTCCACCTGAGCCTCCAACGTGGCCACATTCTCAGACAGAGCCGTCACCTGCAAAAAGCCCAAGAACACTGTAATGACACAATTTGACCAACTATAGATGTAAATCTTGTGTGACTTTTTCCTTGAAAGTAACTGTATGTAGTCAAAATACATAGCATTAAAAATGTAATAAAGAATTAAATACATACAATAAATATATATATTAAAATATAACAGAATATGGCTAAATTATATTAACAACAGGTTCATTATTTTGAATTAATTTATCATACACTAGTTTATTTGAAACTTTTCAGCAATCGGACTAGTCTCCAGGACTTGTTAATATGGACAAAGTGTAAGAAGCGGCTGGTTGCACTAGCCTTGCAGTACACTGTACGAGTACTATTCAACACCTTATCCATACTTACGGTGATTTAAACCAAATTATGTTCCCCCAGCTAAAGAAAACTGGCATTGCAACCACAGATCTTAAATTAATTTTCAACAGCACTATAGATCAAAGCATGATGTTGTACAAAAACCATACAGAAACAGTACATTAAAAATTCTAATGTAACTCAGATCAAATTTTGCTGAATGGCAAAAAAATGTAACAATAAAGCAGAGACAGTGACCCTTCAGCTATTTAGCCCTGAAGCTTACTAATATAAGTGGAAATAATGGTGTCTGACAGTTCTAGGTTAACTTACAGGAATTCAAAGCTAAACCTAGAGTATTCTATATTCATAACTATTTTGCACTCATCATACATCCACCTGATTTACGTATCATGCCAATTCTCCCCTTCAAACAAATCACTTCATAAAGTAAGCGATAAAATAGTCGTATGGAGGTTGACCTGGTGCACAGTATACCATTTCTAACATCTCACTATCCTGAAACAGAAAAGTAGTTAATCATATGTAGGTGTAAATCATGCATATAGATCAGAGTTTTCTACAAAGTCATCCCATATCTTTAATTACCAAGCATGACATCATCATCGTGTCACTATATGTTGTCTAGTGTGTATACAGGATTTAGTAAAACAACTGCAACTACTCAATGTGAGAATCAGTGCCAGTAAAACACATCTCAGTGGGTGATGAAATACAAAGTAATGTGGTAACATGAAGGAGTGAATTATTCTACCAAAAAAGGCACAAAATACTTGTCTCATGCTGTATTTTGAAGTGCATACTCTGCTCTAAAGCAGATCTGTAACTAAAGAACAAAATGCATACAAGAGAACTTCCAATAGATAGCAAGGACTCAAACAAGGAATTGTATAACAATGTCTCACTGTCTCCAGTGTAAGGTTAGATTTTTATTTCACTTTGGCCTGGCAGCAGATTTCTGATGATCACTTACAACATTTAACTTTCTCAAATATCACTTAGCTTCTATCTCGGTGCTCAGTTCCTGTTTTAATACCTGGAACTGGAGTGAAAGGCTTCGACTTCCTGTAGCAGCTTCAGAACATTATTCCACCATCTCATAATACCAGAAATACAACCATATCACCATGGTTCCCCAACTATGTTAGTAGCTTTCCAGCCATTTCACAAGCAACAACATTACTAAAGAACCTCCTCTTTTTTAAACACTTTCGTTTATCCTATTCAGTTTGTGCTCTCCAGATTTTATCAACTGTACAGCTTATTTTTAAAAGGAGCCCCCAAAAAAGAAAAAAGCCTACAATCAGAAGAGAAATTCACTATATTGCTTCCAAACCACCACCAGAAAATGGTTGAAGAGGTTGCACATCAAACAAGTATGAAAACCACTAATTCATGGAACATTTCTCTCTCTACTCTTCTTTCCATTTCTTTCTCCAATCACCTTAGAAATGCCTCCTCCATCATGTCTCACAGACTTACTACTGTTTGCATGACATTTCCTCTGTAGCTTCCACTGGGCAGAAAAGCCTTATGTTTTATACTCAGATTACACTGATGTCTAGAGTCTAAAACAAGGTGACCAAGCCTCTATTGTAATGGTCACACTATAAATGATGAGACAGATTCTGGTCTCAAAGAGTTTATAAATATCAGTAAAAGTGAGAAAAGAAATTCTAACACATTTCTGCAGGTGGGCAAACTAAGCATATGGTAAGATCATTCTGAAAAATACCATATTAGAATGCAATTACAATATTGTAACATTAATATGTAACAATATGTAAGCTCAAAGTAGTGAAGAATCCTAAATTTGACATGTGCTAACTTCTGAACACTTGACTTGGCAACTTAAATAATAATCTTTATAAGAAGCTAGGTACAAACTTGCATCATGTATGACTTAACTCTTTCCTGCTTTGACAAAGTACATTAGAATATACTATGCAAATTACAATAAGCGCATAACATCAACAACTTAGTATGTATTAAGTGATGTAGCATAAAACCTAGTTATTCAGACTCAAGGGATCACTTGTCTACCACTGCTTTAAAGCAATAGTAGAAGTGACTTACTGAGCTCTCAAATCTAAAACTGAAACAAAATGAAAAACAAGCAAACAGAAAATTTAAAGAGGATGATATGTGCATTTTAATACACATAGGAAAAACCCAACTCATACCATTGCTGTCAAGTCCTCCCTTTCCTTCTTCATTTCTTCTCGCAGTGCTTCTTTTTCACCAGTCCTCTTATTTAGCTGGGCAGCTAACTCCCTTTCAAGACGATTCTTCTGCCTTTCCATCTCACTTTTCAGCTGCTCACAATAGACTAGAGCCTAGAAAAAAAACTATTTTTTTAAGTGGAAGAAATCTAAAATTTTAAACAGACACAATATTTATCTAATGCCTTCAGAGAAACCAATTTGCTATTAGAAAGGACATCTTATTTTTCTACATAGCTATTGTGATGTTTATACCTACCCTACTGTGTTAACATCTAGATTAGGTCTAACAAATTGAAAATAGATGTACATGTTTGTATGTACACACATGCCCTACTCCAATTTATAAATCTATTAGATTTTAAAAGTCATGGCAAAGTTGGAAGCATTTTTCAGAGTATATTTTCCAAATATACCATTCTTTTAAAACTAAGATGAATATTTGCCTTGCATTTAAAATTCATAAATGCACATCACTAGAACTAAGCCTCAGAACTTGACTCCTTGCAAACACTGTGGTTACTTCCTAACTGCATAGCTGAAGGAAAAATAAACAAATAAATAATGTATGCACTTCTACTTGTTTTCCCCCTGAAGTGAATTACTGAGTGCAGAAGGCTAAGAAGAAATCTGGAAGATGTAAGTAAAGATACAAAACTAATTATATTTATTTATTTATTTATTTTAGTTTCAGTTTTGTCAAATAAAGAAGATTAATTCTACCAAAAATTCGTTAAACGTCCTGTTTAATTTGAAGTGCTAAAACACAGGTTATATATGTGTTTTCTATCAAAACATAAGAAATATAAGTTCATATGCAAGAAGAGCAGTTGACACTATCTTCTAAAGCAGCTAGGGGAGGAAAAAAAATAAAAATCTATCAATTATGCTGATGTATCCCTGCCAAAGGGATAGGAGTTGAGTGTTATGTCAATTTAAATCAGAAATACATTACTCCATTAAGTAAATCAAAGTATTCAAAGGACCCTAAAGGCAGCTTGCTAGCCCATGAGTAAACTAGATTTCATTTCATCATTTCACTGACAGTCAGTATACCCTATTTCAAAGAAGCTAAAGTAACCTCCTTTTAGGAATCCTACCTTATTACCTTTTATTTTCAAATTATTTTTTTAAGTGTTTATTTTTATTTTACTCAAAGCCAATCTCCTACATGCAATTTCCTTGGTGCTGAGCTGTTCATGAGTGCAGGAAATTAAACCATAATTTTTAGAGAATAATCTAACAGTCTCCGTTAGTTTATATCAATTCTGCAGGACACTCCTCAGGGTCTCTTTCCTAGCACAAGTCTATCTTGGTGAGGGAAACCCTCTGTCATTGCCTTGCAACCTTTTCTGAAGGAATTTATCATCAGCATTAGCAAACAATTCTCTGCATAAGACTGGTGTAGTTTGGTAGACGAGTAAAACAATGCAACTCTAGAAGAATAAGTTGCAAGAAGAAATGTGTATTTTGTTAGATGCACTGAGCAGTTCAAGCAACATTGTTCTATGACATTTATGTTGAAAATAATTCCTGAATTTGCTTCAGCCATAGAAGTTTAACCTTACCAGATCTGCTCCTTGCTCTATGTAATAGGCAAAAGGCCACAAACTACAGAAACAACCAAAAGACAAGAAAAAACAGTGGTTTTAAACAATAAGTACCTGAATTTACACTTTGTTTAAACAAAATTATGAAATTGCAATTATAACACATGGAGCTTCCAAATGTTAACTCCTCACTTTTCTTATTTGGACTGTCCTATTGGATTCCATGATAATCAGAAAGGAAAACAGCACTTCAATTTAAGACTAAAATAGGACTGGAAAAATAAAAGATGGTTTGTACTTACTAAGAGAAATACCATTACAAGTTAAAATGCTAAATCAGTGTAGAGTAAGTGAAAGATTTCTTCCTGTTCCTTCATATTACGTGAAAAAACAGGCTACTATTCAGTCTTGTATACAGATAGCACTTCACATTCTCTTGCTGCAGTGAAGAGGGGGGCCAGTAGAGACCCTATGGAGCTGCTTTCTTTATGTCGCAGAAATAGTACAGGTCCGAAGACCCATTTTATTAAAGGTTCTACTAATTTGTCTTATAAAGTTTTATTCTTAGACCACATTTCTAACACGTGCTAGTCTAACACTGACTAAGAATTTACAGGGATTTTCTCTTTAAATAATAAAATAAAGATTTCCAACACCTAATGAAAAAAAGAAGAAGATCAGAAAAGTACTTTGTGAGTTCTTAAATAGCAGTAGGTGGATAACATTTCTATTGGACAACTGTTGAACCCACTCCAAAAAAGTAATTAAGCAAGCAATTTAAAAATTTAACCCCTCAGTGACAGGATGTGACAGGTGAACAGTGGGCTCAGAAGGATACTTTCCCCTTGTAAAAAACAAGAGCTGTACATAGGATTTCCAGCTCTCGTTATTTTTTTCCTACAGAGTTTATAGTTAAAACTCTCCACACACACACACTCACACTCTTACAGCATTGGAAGAATAATACCAATTTGATCAATAGAACAATTGTATCAGTCTTGTCCACTATTAAAAACAACAGCTTTTCGTTTAAAAAAAACCCAAAAACCAACAAACAACCTCTCTCAATTCCATAGTAATTCACTAATAATACAGTAGATGTCACTAAATATCAAGGAAATAATTTAGTTCAATATTGCTTGATTCTATATAGTAACTAGGGCTAACACAAGAATTAGATCAAAACTGGTTTTATTATTATTATTTAAATAGCACCAAAAGCTTCCTGTAGGTAGCATCAGACAGGATTTCTCATCTTCAGAGTTCTGTTAGCTACTCAGTTCTCGCACTGCGCTCATCTGAGGCAAGAACTGGTTGTAAGCATTTTAAGTATTCTTTCCAGAGTAGCTCTGAAATGTGATATTAGAATTATCCACCTACATGTCATGAATGCCTTTGAAAACTCTGTCATTCAATTTCTACCACCTAGCCGTGAAACTACGTCAGAATTTAAATGATGGCCTAAGAATGGAACATAACTTACAGCCTTTATGAGAATTTAAGAACTCAAATATTTTTGAGTTCACGTTACTGCTGAGAAACAGTCACACAGCATAATCCTTTCAAATCTACTACATCACATCAACATGCATGATAAAGGTCTCATGCGTGTATTCTCTCATTAGCATGAAAACTCATTAATATTTGCAGTAGATCTGAATACTGAAAAGTTCTCCTTTCTTGATGAATTTACCTTTGTTTTTTCTAAATTGGCTTCTTCTGCCATTTGCATAGCTTGTTTAACTTGCTCACAAGCATTAGATTCTCTTTGCTGCATCTCCTTCATGTTTCGTCTCAGTGAAACAAGTGCTTCCATCAAATCATCTCTTTCTCTGCATATAAAGAAAAAACAGATATTTCTTCTGTATCTTTTCTCAAGAGAAAAAAAGCCAAGAGGTACATAAAATAGAAAATGTTAACAGATAAAAGACATAAGGGTGGTAAGTGAAGCAAGACTAAAACCAGCACGGGTTGAGTGAAAGATAGCATACTGCTAGCTTGGCAGGTATTAAAAATATCATTTACTTGATGACTAGTCCTTCACTTCAGAAGGACAGATCATTAGTGAAACTGTCAGTAATGACAGCAGAGCTCAAGTCATAAATATATTGAAGGCGAGCAACATTCTGTTGGCATTACAAAACGGGGATCCATGAAAAAAAAAAAAAAAAAAGAAAAAAGAAAAAAAAAGGCAACTTTCTGAAAAAATAACCCAAAAAAACAACAAATTGAAGCAATATGAAATTACACTGTCATTAAATGTAAAACAGGGAGAAAAAAATAAAAGGAAGGGTTAGGTTCAACAAGTAATTCAGATCACTAAGTATATCAAATAAAAATCAATAGTCCTTTGCAGCTAAGTGGAACAAAACTAAACAATAGACTTCTGGATTCTGGACATCCCCTCTGAACTTTTGTTCAATACCAAATGATGAAGCACAGTTAATAAAACTGCAATATTTCACCTTTTCCTTATTTCGATATGTTGAAAGCTTTTAAAGAGTGCAATTGTCTCTGTTTTAGGTACAACGAGAGATTCTGGCTGAGAACTATTGTATTTGGGTTTTTTTTCTTCTTCCTGTTGTGTGGAATGGTAACACAGTTGTATTTGCCAGAGAACTAACAGTCATATTTTGAAATTTCATTTCAACAAGACTGGATAGAGTCCCTTTGAAAATCCCTACCAAAATATCTTTGTTTTTAATAAGTTACATCACAAGAGATGTAGTTTTCAGATTGTGTTAAATCTCAAACTGAAATAATGGTTTAAAAAAAATAAATAGTTCAGCTCAAATCTTTTATTTCAAACTGCACATAAGACAAGATGAAAAGAATATACTGATTTATAGTTTGTTCATATTTTCCCATGTCTGTGACAAATAATTACTTTTCTTACAAAAGCAGATTTTGAAACATGACTTTTTGTCAATAGAGATCTTCCTAGAAAATCATTGGACTTGACAATAGAAAAATACATAAATCCTGGCAATAGCCATCTAATGCAGAGATAATATCCATTTGACAGATTATACGTACTACGAACCTTCAGTCTTGCCCAATTGACCCACCACCTCATCTCAAGCAGGCTCATTCTAAAACTTCAGAAATCCTAAAAAGCTTCAAATATCTGACAATAAATAGTTGTCAGTTTAATAAGCTTTGAGAAAACTGCAGTATCCTATCATTATCACTAGCAAGTAGAAAGGGAAAGATTTTTGAAGACGATTGACTAGCAGAATTTCTTAAGAAAAACATTTTTAATGCTACTGGTCTGAATTATATATATTATAGTCAGTCTGTATAGCTGGTTTTTTAGATCAGTTAAATAAAAGCTACAATTAAAATAAGGCTACAGCAAATAATTTCATTTATTTTTATCCAAAGGATTTTTTTTCTCTGATTTACTGTAGTTAGAGAGGTGAAATGCATCCTATCTCAAACTGACCTACTAAGCAAATTCAAGGGGGGGGGGCGGGAGGAGGAAGGATTGCACTGCTGATGTATTCTAAAAGTTCCCCAAATGCAAGGAGAATAAAGTGGATCCAGAAAAACTTCCAACTACAGAAAGATAAGGAACTTCTGCAGGAAATAATCAGTTAAAATACGTGGACTTCCATAATATTTGTTCCGACAGAGTAAAGGGTTTGTTTGTACAAAAAGTGCCGGAAATGGACTACCAACAGTCTGATTATCTGGACTGGCCAAGGTATCATAATTACAAGATAATGACTAAAGTTCTTTCCCAGTTGAAATAAGTAGCAAAACTAACAAGGATTTCAAAGTGGTTGGGACCTACACTCATATTCTGTCATTGATTTTAGCATTACAACTTCAACTTGGGAGTCCATTGTTCTGTAAGCACAAATCTCTCTATGAATGCAACTCAAGACATTGAGACTTCTATGGTTTAACGTAAGCAACTGTACTTTCAATAAGAAAGTACATACCCACCAAACCTACTTTGTTATCCTCTCAATGGTCTGCATGTGAACATTAGAATGAGTCTGTGAAAGAACTGCCTCCTGTTGTGCACAGTTCAGACACAGACCACCAACTCGGCTAGAATTCGTGGTTGAAACAAGCAACTTCTGGTGTTTTAGCCTTCCTTCTAAATCTTTACATGTCTTCTGAGATTCTGAAAGGTCTTTTCTAGAAAGAAGAAATAAAAAATATGATTTGAGCAATCAAATATTTCTACAAGTTATATTCATATGCAATATATAATTACAGATGCAACCTAAAAAGAACGGTTTGAATTCCTGTAACTAACATTATTTAACATATTTCAGTAGGCTATGGAAGTCTTTAACAGAGAAATAACAGTTGAAAGGCACAATCAAAATTATTAATAGACAAAACAAAATTATATTAATTTGTTTATTCCCTCTGTAGTACCAGAAAACAGTGAAGCTACACAGAAAATTATTAGATAAAACTTGTAGGCTTACACTGTGTCTGAATAGAGTAAAGGATTCATTATCAAGAAACACTATCACAGCTGCATAAATATTTCAATACTCTATCTAACATTTTTTCTATTGTTCTTACTAATAATATCACTAACTTTACATTTCTTCTCAAATTAACTGTAAAGTTACAATATGAAGTAAAAGTCCCCTATGTTCCCTAGGCAAAATAGATTCAGCACATTCGCTTTGGGCCAGCGATGAACACAAACTTGAGGTTGACCACATCTCTGGAAAAACAGGGTAAGTTTTTCACTTGTCTCTGAAATTTTTACCAGGCGCTCTGAAGAATTTTCTCCAGAATTTCCAAGCATCTGTCAGGCCGGGGAGAGTACAAGTGGTAGGAATGCTGACATCAGGAAGTTCCAAACAAACGCACACTGTGCACACATAGATCAATGTGACAAATTGTGCAATGAATCCAAAGTTTTTGGTTTGTTATGCAGGCCATCTGGGCAGCACACACATAGTAAGTCTGACACATTCTAGCTGCATTGCATTTACTGTGCACATGATATATACACTGCATGCGTGCTTATTTCCATCTGGGAAGTCTTCTGTGCACTTTTTCCAATTTTAGGAGTTGGTCTATTAAATATAATCCACCATAATCTGAACGGAATTTGCTCTGCATATATCCTTCAACAGTCATGGTACAACAGACCTATTGTTGAGAAATCTGGGACAGAAATTAGTGACTCCTACTTAAATTCATCCTTAAAGTTAAAAACAAGGATAGTCCCACTGAAAGCAATATGATTTCTCACTTTAATTAAAATTTAGCAAATGCTCAAGTGCTTTGCAGAATTTTGCAGTCTGAAAGATCATACCCCTTAGGAGAAATCAAGAGGTTGAATAATGTACTTGTAGGAATTTGCAGACTATTTTAGTCTCCAGTATTTATTTCTGAGTATATAATACTTCAAGCCAAGGCAAGGAAAAAAAAAAAAAAAACAAAAAATGGATTACGGAGCTGAAATTTAACATCCTCCTTTACTTTCACCAGCACAATTGGCTTCGCATGTTTAAGATTTCACCACTGCAGAGGGCATATTTAAATTTGTCTTCCTACCAATAATTCTTTTTAAACAAACACAAAAGTCTGGAATTTTCAGATGTATGAAACCAC